GGCCTCCTCTGGATCTCCCAGTGTATTTCTGCAAAATCTCGTCAGATTCGGAATCACGAGATTCACTCGGCGTCTCATTATAATAATAGCCGCAAATCTCCTTCATCGGACCATGCATACAGTTCTTAAACGCTGACTTATCCAACTTTCCTCCCTGCGTATTTTTTTTCTTGCATGCCTGCTGACATCAATATACCAAATTAAAACCATATTCCCATCCGCATCACCATCACCCTCCGCCTCCACCGCAGCACCGCACCACAGCACGCAGAGGGCACACACCAGCAGCACACGGCCAGTCATCATCATCGCCATCACTCCTGTCACTTGCGTGTAGCCTTCAGCACAAACTAACGCCCCGTCAACGCAGAGTGAAAGAAAAAAATGACACGGAACAGCAAAAAACACCGTCCCATCCAGCAATGAGAGTCACACACCACAACAAATGAATACGGCACAAATCCAAAACTCGCACAACAACCTGCATGAAAAAAATTGGAAATAAAAAAAAATATTTTAAAAAACGCACACAAGGCTCCACCGCATGCGCATGCGGCGAGAGCGGTCCGTCGTGCCGGCACCCCTCACGGAGGGCACGCACACACACAAGAGGAGGTGCAGCGCACGCAGCAGCACAAAAGCAAAGTAACAATTAAAAATGAGATTCCCGCACACCACGCGAATTGTTGGCCCACGGGAAGTGCAGCCAATATCCATCACGATAACAATACAGTTGCCTTTGGCCTTCATTCATATTCGGCGCACTCCACACGCAGGCTTTCCTTCTGGGAGACTCCTGATCGTGCGTTGCCCCATACGCGCGAGAGTGTCCCGATGGCCTCCGTCCACGCTGTCCCCATGTCACACGACTCCTACACACTCTGGCCATTCTCGCAGTCAACAATCATGAGAAGTGATCCCTCCCATCCGGTGGTGTGGGAGGTTTCGCATTCCGCAGGGGAAATGTCCCCAAAGAGCGCCCAGATACTGCCGTTGTCCGTCGAATACACGATCATGGAGCAAACGTCTTCCGCTTCATTCACCGCCATCAGAGGAAACACAAGCATGCCATCCCCCATCACAACACCTGCACCACCAGAAGCAATGAAATCCGTCCATTAGCCTTCGTGAGAAGCAGAAGAGATCAGCTTCGAGAGTGGTTTGGGGTCGCCCCATTCGATCCATCCACTCCGCTTGCCACCCGTGGGATTCGTGACATCACCCACAAACAGTTTCAGCTCCAAGCCGCCATCTCCCCAGCACCCACCTTCGTAGGACACATCAGAGCCTCCCGCAAGAGGAAACGCTCCGTGGTCCCTCGTGATTGTTGTCGGTTGGCCAAAAACAATCAAACTCTGTTCTTTTGCCTCCGCTGTACCAAGCACAGTGTCTGCGCTCCATGTAATTTTATTGACCCCACCAACAACAGTGGACCAACCCCACGCAGAGTCAATTTACCCCGCAACTACATCAGAAGAAAAGGGCCTACTTAATTGACCTGCTTGACACTCGGCATCCATGTGACCTTCGGCGAAAGCAGCAATTACTCCACCAGCACTGACGAGAGAGAGTGAAGCAAACGAATCCCTCGTCGTAACTGGAACAGTCCCATCCTTCGGCTGCACCAGCGTCGTCTGCGGTACAAATAGAACAACTCCATGCGGCAACTCAACGTTTATTGAACCACTCATCGCATCATCAATGGGATTCCCCTGCGGCTCGGTGACAGGCGTGGGCCTTCTTTCGGATGGTATCGGAGCCAATTTTGTGTTCCAAACAATGGCAAACTCAGGCCTCGTCTCGGGCGTGTTGGTCGCCGTGTTGGACGCGGGACTCGGATCGACGGCGTTGGGTCCGTCAACCGCCGCAGACCGTCGCCAATCTGCGTTCTGATGTGACGGCTCAGCATTAACTTGCTGTGCAGTTGTCCCACCAGATTTTGTGTCGTCCTTCTCTTCACGGGGTGACGGCAACTGACAGATGCCCGTCCGGTCAGCATCGCTGCTCCGTGCAGGCGGATGGATGGTTCCATCGGGAGGAAATTGAAGCCGCCACAATTCATAAGGGCCGGCGTATTTATGTGTCGTCACATTCATCGTGAAGGCAACGGTGGCCCCTTCCTCTTTCGTTGCACAGCTGGCAGCACAGTTGCTACATGTGTGTACCGCATTGGCCACATGGCACACAGCACCCAGCTCACCATCTCTGCTACGCATGCGCACATCAAAGCCACTGAAAGTATAATTCTCCTACTGAGCCTCAGCACTGGCTGCAGAACACTTCCTCCACGCCCACAAACACCCAAGCACGCGATAGCTCAGGCTGCCGTCACTCGGAGCACACGACACATCCACCGGCACAACCACCGTATCCGCAGCACCAGATACATCTCCAGCACTCCCAGCCACCGTCACGCACACGGACGAGCAGCAGCAGCACGAGAGTGCAAGAATCAACACGGCTCCGCACCGTCACCATCGCAGTCATCATCATCCGTAGTGAAGTCGCTGGAGCCAGTCAGCTGATCGGTAAGCCAAAATGAAAAAGAATGGAACAAGAGGAAGGGGGACGGAGTGCAGCGGATACAGCGAGAGAGACAGCAGACAACATGAGGAAAGGGCAGGAGGCCCAGCCGCACAGTTCACACACCACGAGACGGCATTCACCACCATCTCCACCCAGCTCATCTCTACAGCCCCAGGGAAACAACCAAAACACCGCGGCCACCACACAACGCACACGGAGCGAGCACCCACCACAGCAGCCACACGCGCAAGCGAACCCTCATCCATCCATGACGCGGCAACAAAATCTCCTGCCATCCCGCCCTCGATGGGAGACGGAGCCCAACTCAACGCAGTCACACGCGGTGCACCACACCCACAGGAAAGGAGACTCGGGCTGCGCACTCCCCCTCCTCACTTCTCCTCATGGCCACGGAGGAAGACAACAGCCGCCACACGCAACTGCCAGCATGCACTGCAAAAGAAGCATTCAAATCCACTGCAATGTGCATCTTGTGTGTGTGTGCCTGCAGAAACACAAAACAAAAAAGTAGAAAATAGAGAGCAGAGTATGTGGAGGGACGCACAAAAATGTACAGCGGAGGTGCATAACGGAAACAACAAGAAGACCGCTCAAACTCATGACTGCACTGCAGCCCAAGCAGCGGCAATCCACACAAGATTTATTTAAAACAGAAAAAAAAAACCATCCCCTTCGTCTTATACAAACCCCATCACACAAAATAATTATAAATAAAAAGAAATCGTCCAATGCTGTTCCACACAAATTTAAAAAAACTGCCGGCTGCCGTGTGGCCACACCAAACTGTCTGTATATATTTTGCCCGAAAAAAAAATTAAGAAGGTATTTAAATGTCTTTCAACCGTCCGACCCTCCGTGTGTCCGCACATCGTTTATATTTCATGGGGCCATCGGCGTGCTGCTGCTCCCCTCAGCCCTCTTATTGGTGCGAGTGCGGCCCGCAGAGCACAGTCACTCGTGTGTGTGGGGACTGAGAGAAGCACGCAGACACGACGGCAGTCGCGTCTCTTCATCGGGAGAGTGAGCGCAGCAAAAAATCTTAAAAACACGGCGGCAGGGTGTGGCTGTGTGCGTGGCGCTGCGGGTGCCTGCCCGCCCTGGCCGCAAAGAAACAAAACAAGAGGGAAGAAATTTGTGCTCCGCCCCACAGGCCCTCGTCGCACGCCCACACGTCACGGCTCCCTCAGCGCGC